AATAAATCGCATATTACTACAAACCCCATATAAATAAATCGCAAGCCCTTAAACCTCAATACCCCACATCTTATAGTTCAATAAATAAGTTGAGTATATACACTGCAAACTCTTAAACCTTAATACCCCACGAGTAATGCGAACAAATTTGAAAATCGCGCCACCATTTTCCATACCTCAGATTTTTACAAAGTGACACGCCTGGCCATGGGACCACTATCAAAATAACTAACACCACCGCCTCTTTTCATATTTACATTATTTTGGCTCGTATGCACGCAAGTACTTTTACGGTATTCGGTTAATTGGTTATTAAGATCTTTTTTCGTACCATAGTCGCTTTGAAAGCGTTGAACAGAACTTTCTAACACTAATATTTTCTTAAGTATTGGCGTAACGTCTAAATGATTAAATGTGATGGGAGGCAGCTTTTCCAACTGCCTTGCCACGAAAATTGGGACCTGATCAGGGTCTGTTTCCTTAAGTAGACAAATTATGTCTTCAATGTTCCGCAGAGTTTTACCTTTTCGTTTTCTCACTGTCAGCTGCTTACCCACAGATTCAAACAATAACGACTTTGCCTTTTCAATCTCATCCAAATTAAAAGCACTTTCACATATTTGAATTAGGCTTTCTTCATCCATTATGTCCAGCTTATTTTGGACGAATGCTAACACTTCACAAATAACGATGTTACAATTAGAACATTTTAATATTTTCGACATCCATTATCGTGGCGAGGTCTTTAATGGCGAGGCACTTTAATTTCCTATGTATAATATTTTTTGATTTAATTGCTCTTTTAATATAAATATTCACATTTAAGTTTATATTAACAATGATCTTGGAAATATATATTCACGTTTTTAGATCCCTTTTATTTGTCGTCGCCATTGTCAGGTTGTCATTGAAAAAAATAGCGCCACTGACAAATTTTGACTTTGTTACTTGTTTTGGTTATTTCGTTCACCAATCAATTGACAAGACTTTAAAGCCTTTATTCCAATGATTTTAATTTTCAGTTATTCATTTATCAGAATATCTTTTAGTTACTTTGTTTCCTCATTTTCATTCCTTTTTTTACTTATTAAGCCAGTGCTTGACCACAATCCCATCGTGGTGATATAGACTTAGATGCTAAATCCCACTATCTTAGCCTAATAAAATCCTAGTCACTCTTGCCTTGAAGACGCCCACTCCTTTGCTGTACGCATTACTAAAGACCAAGCAAACCGTTTGGTTCTTATGCGTTACAATTTAAAAACCCGGTTGTCCGATGGAGGAAAAAAGAGACAGGAATGATATAAAGCGTGTAATCCCTGCGCCCACTCACCGAAATGCATCCTATAGAACACTGACAGGCTGGCTACCTGCGTCTGTGCTCGAGGCTGACAAAGTTGGTTTCAACAATCAAGATTACCAATGAGCCTCTTAGCACGTCTCTCCACTGAGTCCAACGCTGCCAGGTGGCATTTTGTAGCCCAGCCTATATATAACAGCAGTACTCCATACACGACCGGACTTGCGCTTTATATAAGGTAAGAAGCAGCCCCGTCGTGAAGTACCGCTGTACCCTTGTAAGGACACCTAGTTTCCTTGCGGCTGCTTTGGCGCTGGACTCAATGAACCGCCCATACATTCCGTAAGATGACAACAAAATGCTAATTGAAAAAATAACGAAAACAATTTATGCAGCAGATCCTACAAAACTGATATACCCTTTCCATTCAAAATTAATTTTTATGTATTGGTTTTCGTCATTGTTATCGTCCACCGTAACACAATGTTATAACATACGAGAAGAGTTTTTTTTATATCTTTGTTATTTTGCATATTTTGTATACTTTCAAGGAAATGGCGTTAGTTACAAAATAGCTTTGGAAGGTATTTTAAATCAACCTTTTGTCTAACACCCTGCTGTAGTTGTTCGCTACGAGGGTTGCCACCTTTTTTTGATGGTGTTGTTATAAACTAATTTGCTTAATTCCGCGTGAAGAAAGAAAATGATGTGTCCTGCCCATTTTTTTTTAGGGGACCTCCCACCCTCCCTCAATCGCGCGCACTATACCCGTCATCGTTAATCCCAGAACTACCACTCCCAGCACCACCACACTAGGCACGACACACCACTCTCGAAAATACGACAAGTGTTTCAGTACGTGTCACGTGTCAAGTGATGCAAAAAGTACCATATTTTTGCATCTTTTTTGGGAAAAATACTATGTATATTAGTTCAAAAAAAGGTAATTGATATAATCAGGCGTTACTTTGCGGAAATCCATTATAATGGGGTTGTTATAAACTAATTTGCTTAATTCCGCGTGAAGAAAGAAAATGATGTGTCCTGCCCAGTTTTAAGGGGACCTCCCACGGACCTCTACACGAGGCATCCTCAGGTGAAGTAGCCTCCGCAGAGTCTACTTCACCTGAGGATGCCTCGTGTAGAGGCGAAACACGTGTCGTATTTTCGAGAGTGGTGTGTCGTGCCTAGTGTGGTGGTGCTGGGGGTGGTAATGCTGGGATTAACGGCGACGGGTATAGTGCGCGATTGAGGGAGGGTGGGAGGTCCCCTTAAAACTGGGCAGGACACATCATTTTCTTTCTTCACGCGGGATTAAGCAAATTAGTTTATAACAACCCCATTATAATGGATTTCCGCAAAGTAACGGCTGATTATATCAATTACCTTTTTTGAACTAATATACATAGTATTTTTCCCAAAAAAGATGCAAAAATATGGTACTTTTGGTAAATTCAGGAAAACAAGCTTTTATTTTTAATCTTTATGCATTTTTTTCATAAATATTTGTTATTCCTCTTCACTTTGGCCCTCAATCTGAGGAATTTAGATTCATATTAAAATAAATGAACAATTCGTTTTAATTAAATTTATTATCTATTTCATTCTTCTTTCCATTTTGCAACTTACTTGTTTCAGTCAAAGTTAGTATAAAAAATTGCGACAGTTGAACTAAGGATGAAAATATAGTATTTTTCGTACTTTATTATTTTTCTATGATATAATATGGTACAATTGACTGAATTATAGTACGATACTATATATTATAGTACGAGTGGCAACCCTATCGCTACATACTTTCCCTATACGATTCAACGGTACCGTTAGTGTAAGAAATCTTTCCTGTGTCACATTATCACCCTTTCGTACTACCAGTGATATGTGTAACATAACTAAAGAAGACCTGTCATTCGTCGTAGAAGCAAGGCAGTCATAGTAAATGTTATATTCCCTCGTTTTTGGGCCATGCGGAATTTTTTATGAACATGATAGAAGACCCAATCATGCATCATTTTTTCAATTTCGTGTATTCAAATATTTTATGATAGAAACGATAGATAAAGTGAAAAAAGCTTTCATTTTATAAAATTTGTGTCTTTCAAACAGATTGAACAAAGTTTGCACGATATCCATCAATCAATGTCGTAAATGTAAATATGTAGCTACATTGTATGTACATGTATAGTGCATATATGAGAATTATAAGTTACTTTAGTCCTTTACAACAAAGGAAGACTAACGGCCAAATACTCAAACACTACTTATGTCGTTAAGTACCGTGGTGTCAAGGTCACTATGACTTATTGTGATAGAGACATCACGAGATTTAACGGCATCTTAAAATAGACCAGCGTTTGAGTATATGGGCATTAATCAATTTAAATAACAAAAAAGAACTTTATTTCCTAAATAATTATTCTTTAATGTCACCGTTACATTGTATCCAAAGTCCACAGCTGAACACAGGCCTCCCCACGAATTGCCTCTTGGCACAGATTACTAAATAGTTTACGAAACTCTTGGGAATCTTGGGGGGGGGGGGGGGGGGGTAATTGACATATCTAGCTGCCTCTCTTGCCAGGCGGGTTGGTTTTTTAATGTTTAGTTGTTATTAGGAAGGAAAGAAGAAGGAAAGAAAAACGTTGCTGCCAATATATTGGTTTGTTATCCTCTATCGCCTCTTACGATACCCATGGGACAAAAATGAATAGTGGATATGGTTACACCGTCGCTACGCTATGGATTATTCGTTTAATGTAAATTAATATGATTAAATACTTGCGTAATACAATACTAGTGTTTGTCTGATTTAACCCTTTAACTACCGTCATTTAATACTTCGACGCTGTGGGTTCAATATACTCACCGCTCTATTTGAACTATTATTTTATGAAATCCTATAATTTTTTTTATTATTATTAAAAGTGAGTTGGAAGCCAGCTTCAGAGACACGGGGATAATCAGGTTTCCGCGGGCTGCATATTACATGTATTAGTATGCAATTACTCAAAGGTTTAGACACTGAGTTAACGTAGTAACGATATTAATGTGTCCGAGCTAAAACAGCTATAGAGGACTTTTACAAAAAATTTAAACATATTTTTTGATTTTCTGCAGAATTCCAGAAAGGAGACGGTACTCAATTGGACTGTATATTTCTTTTTTTATGTGTGTTACCTCATAACTTTTTACTGGGTGAACCGATTTCGATGATTCTTTTTTTATATGAAAGCTGATACTTCTCGTGTGGTCCCATACGGATTTAATCAAGGTCAGACCAATAGTTTTTGAGTTATTCTTAATAACTTATATTGAAGTCGGCTGTACAAAATTTTTAATTTTTAATTATTATTACTTAGTAAGCCGTGTAGTGGTGGTGTAAGTATATCCACTACCTCATATCATCCTGTGAGTGTCTTAAGAAGCAGTAGAAGGAAACAAATCAGAAAATGGGCCTTCTTAATAATGACGAAAATTAAAAAAAAACTGCGATTTCCTACCCGCTTGCCAAACGTGATAATTATGGCAAAACTATCCCCACTATGAGGCAATCTATGGGGGACGCCTATGTTCAGTAGTGAACTTTAATAGCCTGTAACGGTATGCGTTCGGTCATTGAAATATAAATACATCTTCTCTTAGAACGTAAGTTTTAGTGGTTTTTGGAATTTTCTATTTAACATTTATTTATTGTTTCCAGAGCACCACAAAACAAACTCCGTCCATAACAGTCGATGGCATATCCACGTATCCTGGACTCGGGTTCGGTCCAATGGGGCCCGTGGTGCCACTCCCTGGCGATCCCCCTGGGACCCAACTGCGCCAGAAGCAGGAGACTACCACCGAATCAACAACTACAGCTAAACCAAAGAAGGAACGAACATTTGTCATAGCGGCTGTTGAGTTCCATCGTGTCGAAACGCCGTTTCTGATCGGGCTGTGGATATTTTTTGCAAGTCTTGCTAAAATTGGTAAGTCGTTGAGATAATATTTTGTTTTGTCATTAGTCGAAAGTTATATGAAGCGTCAGTATCCTAATGGCAGGGCGCGGACCGCGAACTCGATAGGTCGTGGATTCGAATCCGCCATTCGAATTACTACCACTTATATGTATAACACAAGCATTTTAAACTTACCAGAAGTGGTTAAAGGGAATATTAGTAATGTATAGCATTACTAGTATTTAAAAAAAAATTAATGGAAAGAGGTTATAGTGGCACTTTGAAACTTTTGTTTATTGTTTTGCTGTGAAATATATAATTACATGCTCTTGATTTCTTATATTTACGCGAACACTACACACTAAACGAAATGGATTCTACGGATTTTATCGCATTTAATTTAAACTTTTTAATCTCCGATCTTTCGGGTGCTTTACAGCACGTTAAAATTAAACGCAATAAAATCCGTAAAATTAATTTCATTTAAACAGGCTGTAAGATATTTCAACTTAGTCCTCAACAGGTGACAACGCATCTGTAGCCTTTTTTATTTGGAGTTGGCTGCATTATCCATGAACTGCAGTAGCCACTTATCATCAGATAGACGGTAAATTCCATTGCCACTTCAGTTTTATTAAAATATAAATTGAAAAAAGAACAGAAATAAAAAGATTATTTACTATTAAAGTCGAGTTCAAAAAAGAACGAGGTTATCAATTCGACTGTTCTTTTTTTTTGATGTTTTTTCCGCGATATCTTTATCAATTGTGAACTGATTTAATAGATTTAATAGATTTTAAATATACTTCAGGAGTCATGGAGTGGTCTCATATAGATTTGTAGAAAAAATCCACTGCTAATGGTGGGGATAAAGTTTGAATGTAACTATGTATATAAGTACTCAGACGACATTCGAGTTGCTTACATTGAGCTTGTTACACTCCTCAGTCCAATCAAAAGGATCAAATAATTATGAATTAATGATCTCATATCTTTTTAACATTTAATTTCTCTAAATCTTATTAATTTCATTACAATAAACTTCCGTGATCTTTAAAAAAAAACTCGGTTCATCTAGAGACTATCAGTCTCCGGCATAAACAGGAGAAAATTTAAAATATTTTTGATAGTTTGACATACATTTTGTTTAAGACGAACAGTGTTATTTACCTACTGGTAAAGAGCACTGATAATAAGTGCCAGTTAATGTCGCGACAATCTTCATACCACTAAAATGAGTAATGTAACTTAAAAATAATATACTTGAAATGTGTACTTGTTAATTGCTTGCTGCTTCTTTTGTAATGAATAGAATAACATTTTATTGCACATGGTAAGTTATGAGTTACATTAATTTCATAGTGGGCTATACTAGGTAAACTTAGAAACTTGTTTCAACAGATCCAGTAGCTTGTTCCAAAATAACAGGCTGTTCTGTCGCGCCAATTTTCGATTGGAACTGTTTTTAAACTGTATCAGCACTGTTAGATCTGGCCAGTTCTTATCACTGTCGCTCTGGAATTGCAATGTACATTATAGTTATTAATTAGCTTAATTTTATTGCTATCGGCAATAACTTTACTTATTATAATTACAAATGTATATAAAAATTAAAGTTTATTTGTTCGTATTTAATGCGCTGCCATACTGTTTATCAGATTGCGGTTAAACTTTGTCAACATATTGCTAGCGCTTGCGCGTAGGTCATAGGCATAGTACAAATAAATTACAGTAGGTGGAGGGCGTATCATACCGACAACTTTATTGGAAAGTTCATTCAACTTTAATTATTATAATATCATTCCTAATTAAACAATATAACTCTTCCAAATTTAAAACGATATTTCCACAATGGTTTCTTCTGCAGCAGCAACGCGCCTGGTACCAGCTAGTAATAAATATAATATTATATTGTATTAGTTATTAATGCTATAGGTTTGTTTAATTTGTCCAAATTTTGAGCAATACCTTGTATGACCAAGTCAGAGTTGTTAAGTTAATGGCTTCGTCACTGAAAATATAATGTATCATATTACTTTCTACATAATTTTAACTGAATAACATTTTCATTGAACCTAACGGTTATTGGGTTTCAATAGACTTTTTAGTTCTATGGCAACCTTGTTATATTGTAATAAACCACCGTGAAAGAGAACCACTAGCCCATGTTACCGTGGGTGTCGTAATAGCCGACATAGGGAAATGATGAAATAAAACAGAACAATGGCAGCAGTATCCTCCTAAAGGAAGGCCTACGTTCAGCAGTGGACTTTTGATATTAAGTAATGAAAAATTTTACTTGAGCAAACAATCGCAATAGTCAAGGAAATTTGCAAGCTTTTCTTTAGCCTACTTTACAGCAGCCATATATAGGGTCAGGGAAAAGTTTCTTCGTATTTTATAAACAAATTCAAAGCATTTTTTTCATAGCTTAGTAACATTTAATTAAAATACATATGTGCCATTTTGTTCGATAACTTGTTGCCATCTTGAAGGTAGTGATGTAATCCCGTTGCTGTAGAAATCTTGGGATATTCGATCAAAAAAATGCGCTAAGTAGTTTTGACAGTCCTCTCTTGCTGTTTGAATCCTGAAGAGAATGAAACAGGTAAAAATCTGAGGCTGCAAGGTCAGGACTATATAGTGGATGCACATACACTTCCCAACCAAGTTCTCTTAATTTTTGCTGAGTGGAGATGTGTGTGGTCTGGCGTTATCATGATAAAAGACCACTCCTTTTCGGTTGATCAATGCCGGCCGTTTTTTCTTAATTTTTTGCTTAAGTCCCATTAGTTGTTGGCACTAGAGATCCGCATCGATGGTTTTGCCCCATATATCGTTTAGTCCCGTAGGTCTCGTAAGAGACCACAGGGGCAAATTGAAACAGGTAATGGGCAGCAGCATCTTCCTGATAACAACTCAAAATAATAAAAAAACTGCTTTTGCCAACCCGCCTGCCAAGCGTGTCAACCCTGGCAATTTGTGGGGAGGCCTGTGTTCAGCGGTGGCCCTACTTAATTTACTAGACTTACTTATTGTATAATGGACCTGCGTGGCATGTTTTTACTAAGGAAATTTCCACTTCTTAACCCGTATAACTGGAGGAAAACCCAAAATAAATCTTGTTTGCTAAAGCTTTAAAAATGCAGACGAATTTTTTGCGCGCTTAAATAAACTTTCGCTGTGAACGTACCAAACAAGTACTTGAACGGTTTCTATTACATTAAAAGAAATTGAGAAATTACTTTGGTAAATTAAGATATTAAGTAGGGCTTCACTGGTGATAATTGTTACCTATAATGATGCGGTGTCCCTGATTATTGGACAATAAGTAACAGAAGCCATTTAAAACGTCTTATGTTAATTTAGGGCAAGCGCTTTGTACGTGAATTATTATCTTACATATTGTTTGTATTTTCAATTGTATGTGTCTACAGTCTTTTCAACCCATTTCAAAAATTAAGAAGGTTCTATTCGATGTGTTTGTTTTTTATGTATGTTCGAGCAAACCGAAATCATTCGATATTTTGGGAGTAGATATTGATATCTCAATTTTACGCTTAATTGGGTATGCATTAAATCGTCATTCGTGATTTCTAACGTATGTGCGACATTTTTGATTTCATTAATTTTTGAGATTCATTAGATTTTTCTGGATTAAAAGTATATTATATATATTAAGTAGTGTAGGTTCTAGAAAATCTCATTTTAGGGATTTACAGAATTATTCTGACTGATAAATAGCCATCCCACAGGAATCATGTATTTTTCCGAGATACACACCTTTTTTTCTCGTTATTAGTTTACTTTTGCTCCACTACCTCCCATATGTTTATCTCTGCTCAGCCTAATGGTTGACTGGGAGAGACTGCCTTAAAGCATTAAGTCCGCCACATGTACGATTTTTCTTTTGTGCATAAAAGTTTAAATAAATAAAAAATAAATGAATGACATATCTATTTCAGTGATAAAAGTTAAGGTAGGTGGTAAAACTCTTTTTCTGCCTAGGCGTCCGTCTGATTATGCTGCATAATAGAAGCATTAGCACTGCTGAATTCCAGTCTGAAGCGTATACTGATAGAGAATCAGTATTAATACGAGCTGTGAGAAATTCCATATTGTTCTCAAAGGTAACAACGCATCTGTAGGTATGTGGAGTACTCTGTATCTGTCTTCTCTGAAGTTTGCTGTAGATGTCCATGCACTGCAATAGCCATTTATCATATGGTGGACTCTAAGTTCGTTTGTTACTTCAGTTTTATAAAGAGTATCCTGTGTGTTAGTTATTGCATGGCCTAAGGCAACATAAAACGTATTTACAGAATAACACCCCAAATCTATCATCCCACAGGAAGTGAGAATTTTTTAGCATGAAAAGGAGCTTGTCTTACTCTCCGGCACATAAAATCATGTCGATCCGTTGCCCCGTTGCTTTTCGAAAGATGGCGATGGACAAATCAATAATGATACTTTTTATAACTAATAGGGATCAATAGAGATTATATTAGTGGGGATACGTAATAAAATATTATTTTTTTATAGGAGAGGGGGCAAGAAAGCATGCGGCTCACCTGATGGTAAGTGACTACCGCCGCCCATGAACAACCGCAACACCAGGGGAACCAGGGGAATTGCAGATGCGTTGCCGGCCTTTAAATGTGGCGCAACTCTAATAAAATTAGTTAGAACACTTTATAGCATACTGAACGTGTTAATATTTACTTCTGTGATTCTTCAATATAAATTATTAAGGATAACTCAAAAACTATTGGTCAGACCTTGACCAAATTTATATGGGACCACATAAAAAACACCAGTTTTCAAAAAAAGTATCATCAAAATCAATTCAATATAAAAAAACATACAGTCGAATTGAATACCTCCTTTTTGAAGTCGGTTAAAAAATGAAAAATAACGAAAGAAGAATATTTGATATAATTTAATGATTCATCTAAAACAACATGCTACACAATTATTTTTTCAATCAATTATGAACTCTCTGGTTTATTAACACTTGATTTTCATCGTCGACGTATACAAAACATTTTTCTATATTTTAGAAAGTTCCTACGAGATACCGCATGTGTTGGTGTAACGTTGCTTAAAGTTTCATTGTAGGAGGCATCTAATTGTTTAATATTCCTTGATAGATGAGATGTTAACACTGGCTCTGTATGCGTACTGTATGCAACAAACTGAGACCTGTTTGATGAGTCAGGTACAAAGCCACTTGGACGATCCCTTCTTTTACTTGTACTAGTATTTCGTTCGTTTAATATGCTCCGCATACTTCCATCAAGGGAACTTAGATCAGTCGTATCAGCGTCACCTTCTGATATGAGACTCGTTCCTTTATCCTCACATCTTAATTTGTTTGATTCTGTTTCCTCATCGCTAGGTTTACGATCAATGGCAATTGATGATGTATTTTTAGCTTTATGATATTTGTTACGAAACTGACAACCAACATCCCTGATGAATATAATGCCCTCACTTTTCACATTATCAGTGTGTTTGGTATTATTACCTACAAAGCAATTGCACTGACATGTCTGATAAATCTTACCGCTATCGTAAGTAGGGGTTGATAATCGATAAGGTGAAAACGATTTTCGTTTTACCCTTGAATGCATTAAAAACGTAGGCGCACATTCATGAAGGTGTTTACATGTTTCTTGTATTGGACCTATCGGGTGATTTTGATAAATTGAATTAGCGTATATGTCCTGATCCTGAGGCTGCAAATACATGCAAGAAGAAAACTGGCATTGAGTTCTATCCTCCTCATCCGTGTCTTTTGAAGATGATTCCCTATAGTTAATTGTTTTTGAAAATGGTACACATAAAGGTAAATTGACACAACGAGGATTATGAGGACACTCAGAGAGATATTTGCAATTGTTTTTTAAAACTTTAATCCTCTGACAAGACGGTACAATCGTGCATGGTGGGTGATGTCTACAGGCTTTTGTTATTTTAATGATCCGGGGACTGGAACTTCCAGAAATCTTATTGTTAGTAGCTTTTATTTTATCGTTAAATTCATCACATGGATATATTTGACATACAGGGACGAGATCACATTGTGGTTCGTGAGTGCATCCTACTTTATTTATAGTTTTTTTCTTATTATTCGATAACGGTTCATAATTATGTGAACGACTAAATTCCATGTGATTAATGTAACGTAAAATTGAATTTCTGTATTCACAATTTTTTTCGTCGTTTGTTTTGGTAGGAAAGTGGAACTTTTCATTGCAATTAGGACATGTGATATGACATTTTTTTCTCATAAGTTTTATTTTATTTTTGGGAAAGTACTGAGAATCAACTGAATCATCAAGTTGCATAGGAGTTTTAATATCAAGGTCAGTTTTATCTGCAGAAATAGAATTTTCATTCCTTTTAGAATTCAATATTTTTATTCTGTTCAATTTCTCTTCCCCATTTCTGTCAAACAGAAGTGAAATAGTACTTCGATGTTTTGCTCTAATTGATCTCACATTTTTATTTACTTCTGTTGAATCAAAGGGATTTTGTAATTTGCAAGAGGTTTTTATAGATGTAAATGAGTGATCTTGATAAGTTTTCTTTTCACTTTGCATTACAGGATCATAACTTTGCCTATAATATTTTTTATACTGTCGTAATTTTGGATTTTTCATATTTTTTTCCTTAATACATTCGTAGTTTTTTAAATAGAAATTACTGCTATTGCTATACTTTTGGTGAAAATTGGAAGATATTTCAGATTCTTGAGGAAATATATTTTTAATTAAACGACAATCAAGCTCACTGTTGATTGACGTTGATTGTTTTGAATTTTCACAAACAGGATATTCATTAACATTACTTTTTATTCTAATTTTTCCCACATGACATTTTTTATTAGTATATATGTGTTTATTTATTTCGTTTTTAAATGAATTTAAGTCTGTGATACAATTAAATGACTTTCTTTTTACGATGGTATCTAAATCATAAAATAACGTACTTGCTGAACTAATGATCCTTTTATTACTACTGTCGTCATTTAATGTGTGATATTCGTCACTTATAATAAATGGGGTCTTATGTAATTCAACCAAATTATTTACAATTGATTTTCGTTTTTCTAAATTCAGAGTAGACGTATATTCATCATAAATACTGGTATTTGATTTCGTTCGAGCCTTCTCTTCTCTCTTCATATCGCATATACATTCCTTATGTCAGTAAACGGTTATAATTTTTGAATAACTAAAATTTACAAAAATAACTATGAACTATTCCCAAATGCGGAGATAACAAAAATAAATACAATGTGATCTCTTAAATAAAGTGGTTACATAATTTTATCTTATATTTTTTCTAATTTTCTAATTTTTATAAGTTATCTGAAATGTAATAACTTATGTCATGCTTTGACATAAGAAATTATGTTGTCATCAAAGAGTATATAATCACTTTGTTTAGATGTTATGTTTAATTTGGAATTCCTTAGCTCACTATACTTAAAGTTTTTAATCGTGGCATATTTTTTTTCAGGATTCCATATGGTCCCAAAATTTTCGAAGATGTTTCCTGAATCCTGCTTACTGATTTTTGTTGGAGTCCTTATTGGAGCTCTACTTCTAAGCACACATAGTGTGCACGTGCAACCACTGACTCCGGATACATTTTTCTTATATATGTTGCCACCAATTATTTTGGATGCCGGTTATTTTATGCCTAATAGGCTATTCTTTGACCACCTTGGAACAATATTATTGTTTGCGGTAGTGGGGACGGTATTCAATACACTAACTATAGGTGAGTGAAATTTGAATGTTTTTTTTGTTTTAGTTTCAAAACATTAGGTTTATGAGAAGAATTAATTTAATAACAAGTAATATATCGGACGAAATTTGACTACAATAAAATGTTAAGTATTATATCAATGATGAGTTGAAAAATAAAATAAAATAAATAAAAACACACTCAACTTTTAAAACATTTAAAGATTCAGAATGAAAAGTAATTTGATAGTTGAGTAAAAGGCTTTGGTTTTCAGCACTACAATACATATTCTTTAGTTTAAAAATCATGTTCTGTTACGAGTATGTTTATCAGAATGTGTATCAGTGTACCGACAACCGATGGAACAGAAAGGTTCTAGCGTGGCAGCGTCGTACCGGTAGGCGAAGTGTAGGGCGGCCGCTACTGAATAGAGATAACCTGGTAAGAGATATAGGTGGCTCAGGACCATGCTTTGTGACATTCATCGAGGGAGGTCTTTGTTCAGTAGTGGATTTTTAATGGTCTGTTATGATGATAATGATAATGAAACACGTGTATATAAAAATAGTAGTTTATTATGTTATTTTAAGACCATAATTATTAGTAGGACTATTTCTTTCTTCGGAAGTGGCTTCAGACATTAAGTCACACGTAGTATTTAATGAATTAAACGAAAAAGCCACGCCACCTAAAACATTTTACCTCCTGTGGGACAGACGGTTTTAAATATGAGGAAAATTTTTCCCAGAATATTTCCTACGTGAAACAGGAGTTACGTTGTTTGTCAACGTATTTAGATTTTTTTGATACTTTTACGTATTACTACTAATAATTTATTATTATATTGTTTATAACGGTCGTGAGTGCGACTGCTGATCGTGGGGTCCCGGGTTCGTATTCCGAATCTGGCCAAAACCAGTTATTAAGTTTTTTGCCACGAAAAATCAGTAACAACAGGATGTTGGCGGTGTTCACCTCCGAGCCTCAGAAAGCACGTAAAGTCCTGCGCCTGATCTTTCACCGGGAGTGTGAGAATAGAGAGAGCGCTTTGTGTACACACTCGTGCACTATAATCCTACCCCGCGCAGTTGAGATCTCCGTTGAGTTTGGCCGCCGTGACCAAAATTGGGTCTAGAGGGCACTATTACTACAATATTAATAATGCTTATACTTATAATTTACTTAATTTTACTTGGTATTGTTTAAGGAGTGTCTCTTTGGGCATGTGGTCAGACAGGTATGTTTGGATGCACTACGCCGCTTCTAGATATGCTTTTGTTTGGAGCACTTATTTCGGCGGTGGATCCTGTTGCTGTACTGGCAGTGTTTGAGGAAATCCATGTGAATGAAGTTCTGTATATTGTTGTTTTCGGTGAATCACTGTTGAATGACGCGGTTACCGTCGTCCTGTACCATATGTTCGAGGCCTATACGTAAGTGCAATTCCAACATCTATTCTTACGTTATATCGTGCCATTTTATTTTTTATTTGGATAAATCAATAAACTTTAGATAACTACTTCAGAACTGAATAAAATTTATAATCTTTATATATAAAAATTACGTTTCACATTGTTTGTCCGCGATGAACTCTTAAACTACGGAACTGATTTCAATGAAATGTTTCACAATGTATGCAGTTTGGTCCAACTTGAAGGATAGGATAGTTTTTATCCCTATAAGTGACCCTCAATATTTTTATTGTAAATTTAAGGATTTTTTAAAGTCAAGAACATGTCTGAACATGACGGAAAGGGCAGAACGCCGTCTGTCTGGCCAGCTAGTTGTTTTATAAAAAATATCATATCTATGTATATCTATGTGAAGGGAAAACTACGTACTCCTTTTTAAGCATAGTGCGCGCATGGACGAGTGTGAGATTTGCCATAATTAAAGTTGTTATTAAGAAGGAGTGAGAAAGCTAAAATTTGTATATAATAATAATATGTGTTACAAATATATCAAATACCACACCAAAATACATGAACTCTCACGCCTGGCGCCCAGACAGATAGATAGAGAGAGACGACGGACTTAGGTATATTTAGCACGATCCCGACACATCTTTCTTTCTTTTACATTCTTTTACATCTACACACACGGGTCGGTTAAGAGTACTCAATTGACGCATTTTCAATAAATCCCTTGCTATTATATCCTGCTGCAAAAATTTTATTTATCACTCTTTCCTCATTTCTTTTTTCCAACCACCGAAGCATTTTAAGCAAGATTCTTAATACTGGTCACAATATCTTCTTGCAACACACTTTCATCATAACAGAAAATTTCTCACAATATCATTCAGGTTTACAAGTAACCTATTTCTTAATGATCACATTAAATTGTATAATTAATAAAATATGATTGTTTTTATATAGTTTTAATTATAGTTATAAGAGATCATGCTCACCGTGTGTGTAGAATATTCCGAGGGCTTGTCACAAAGAGGACAATTAAACCTAACTTTTTGTTTTTGTGGTTTGGATAAATACTTGTACTTATTTTACAATTTATATATTTTAAATTATTAATATACTAATTATAAAATCCGCCCGATTTAGCTTCCGTAAACTAGTACAAGTGTTTATCTAAATCACAAAAACGAAGCCGGAGTTTGTGTGAACTATTCACAAATTGATAAAAATCGCAAGTGTAAATTATAAAATTTAGTAAAACAATGATGTCTTAATTTTCAGGGAAATGGGTGCATCTCGGCTTATGTACACAGACTTCTTGGCGGGATTTGCCTCCTTCCTTGTGGTTGCTGTGGGAGGAACCTGCATAGGTGTCGTGTGGGGCTTTGCCACTGGACTGGTCACCCGTTTCACAAACGAAGTTAGAGTTATCGAACCTATTTTCATCTTCGTCATGGCATACCTAGCGTATTTGAATGCTGAAATGTTTCATATGAGTGGAATTTTGGCGTAAGTGGTTAAATGTATAAATTATCTTCCGTAAAAAAATATTAAGGCATATCCGTTAATTAAAAGTCTATTATAAATCAATTACTTTATATTCAGTAAGGTGGGAGGTAGGCAAACGTTGCCAGCATTAATTGATTGAATCGAAAGTAATAAATAAACATACAGAATGATGCAGAGTGACGAGAACCAAAGACCATTTTTACTGGTAACGAGTCATTCATTCTTAGCCCTCACCTATGAGATCGCATCTGTATAGTGATTTCTTATATTTACGCGAATACTTCACATGGAATGACACTAAATTTACAGTTTTTGTCGCGATTAATTTTAACTTTTTTTAATTCCCGGCGTTTCGGGAACTTTACAGCACCCATGGTTACGGGGGGTTCTGGTGTCATAGTTAACAAAGGCTACCTTTTATGTATTAATTTTTGGTCCCATCTACGCAGAACCAGCTTACAGTATCTTAAAGTCTTGCAGTAGTATACTTGGGTTTGGATTTATTTTATTAATTATGGCATCCAGAGCAGATGGTAGCACCTAGCCATCTCCTCTATTGAAATTAGGATGTTTTTTTATTTCAATAGATAAATCATCCTAGGTAGGAATCGGGATTTTTTTGCGAGTATTCGTGGTCTATCAAACCTGATATAATAGTTGGGACGATCCTGAACTGGACTTCCCGGAACGTCGGTATTTCACATCAGCGATAAAATCCTTAAAATTTGTGTCATTCAACTTTAAAGTAGGCATAAATAAGCTTAGCTTGCGTATAGGTAGTCTAAGCATTCAACGCATTTATACTTAAATTATTAATTGAAAATAGATGTGCTCGTTAATGGGTCACAGCATCCACTTACCATCAGGTAGCATTATATGCCCGTTTGTCACCCTTACTTTAAAAAAATGTACTTTTTTTATAGGATAAGGGTGAAAAACGAGCACACAGTCCACCTGATGGTAAGTGGTTGCTGCGGCCCATAGACATCTACATCTATCCTCTATTACAAATCAAAATGCAGATGCGTTTTCACCCGTGAGGACTAGGATGGAATGCCTCATTTGTAGTAAAAAGGGCCTGCGGCCACCTGCACTCACCAAGCGAAACGCAGAGGTAAACCTCTACTTCACGCTGGTATTCAGTGAGGTCGTGGTACCACCCCGGTTCGAGCCGGCCCATCCGTGCGACAGCAAAAGCTGCCGCCTGGCTCTACCACTGTTAAGTTGTATACACGTTGTATTTAATTATTTTAAAAACTATGCTGATAATAATCAGTGTTTTGATCGTAAGTTGCCAGTGTGCTTTTTTTATACAAAAAGTCAGACAACAATGGTAAGTGGATGCTGTGGCCCATAGACATCTACATCTAACCTCGATTAAGATTCAAAATGCCGTCGCGTTGTCACCCGTGAGGAATAAGATGGAACGTCTCATTTCCAGTAAAAGGGGTCTTCGGTTCCCTACACTCACCAAACGAAACACAGCAGCATTACGCTGGTATTCCGAGTGCGTGATCCTTCTCCGATCAAGCCGACCCATTCGTGCTACAACTATATTACTACCATAGCTACAGCATGGTTCTACCACGTACAAATCTACTAAAATTAATATTCCCGCCAAATTATGCTTAGACTTATTATGGGTCTCACAGGGAATAATAGCTGTGTTTGTTTAATCGGCTGGGTTTGCTTCCCGGAACGTACACAGAGGGCACTGCTACGATAGTTCTCCGGTTCTCTACACTCACAATGCGAAACACAGCAGCATTGGGCTGCTATTTTACGATGGTATTCTGTGAGAGAGTAGTCCTTCCCCGGTCGAGTCGACCTATTTGTGCTACAACCATATAGCTGGAACATGGCTCTACACATTTTTAATAGGATAAGGGTGACAAACAAGCACACAGTCCACCTGATGGTAAGTGGTTGCTGTTGCCCATAGACATCTACATCTATCTTCGATTACGAATCAAAATACAGATGCGTTGTCACCCGTGAGGACTAATATGGAATGCCTCGTTTCCAGTAAAAAGGGTCACCGGTTCTCTGCACTCACCATACGAAATACAGCAGCGTTAAGCTGCTATTTTACGCTGGTATTCTGTGAGAGCGTGGTCCTTCCCCGGTCAACTGACCCATTCGTGCTACAACCATAATATAGCTGCACCATGGCTCTACCACGTATAAAACATGCAGATAAAACAGGAGATGGGCAGCAGCATCTTTCTGATAACAACTCTAAATAATATAAATACGTTGCCAATGCGCCTACTAAGCGTGGCAACTATGCACCATATGCGGCAATGTATGGTCTATGTTCATCAGTAGACTGATAGAATGAAAATGTTCAAATTAACATCGATAAAACGATTTTCTTTCAGTATAACATTATGCGGTATAACAATGAAGAATTACGTAGAAGCAAATATTTCTCACAAGTCGCACACGACCATTAAGTACACTATGAAGATGCTGTCATCCTCGTCAGAGACAATCATATTCATGTTCCTCGGTGTAGCGACAGTCAATAATAATCACGTCTGGAACACTTGGTTCGTGTTATTGACTATTGTATTTTGCTCAGTCTTTCGCATTATAGGTATGACACTCTTTATCAAATTTAAAATTCTTGTTTGAATATAATAGTCTTTCATTTTATTATTATATATTATTTATTAAATATTTCCAATTTTTAGGTGTGTACATATTTAGTGCCCTAGCTAATAAGTTTCGCTTGCATAAACTGAATACAGTGGAGAAATTCGTTATGTCTTATGGAGGTAAGTTTATATACGTTTATATTTCTTATGCTTTAATTAATAATAAGCTAGCTATTTTTATTTTTTATTATTATTATTTGTACTAATATATTTGGCAGCAGTTTTTCTAGATGATATTTATTTTAAATTATAACATGAATTATCTTTTGATAAATAACCCTTCACTATCGCCGTCTAACGCTATAATTTATGTCGGCAATACCTTTTTTACTATCATTATCAGCCTTTTAAATCCTGCTGGATATAGAACTTTTAAGAAATGTGTAAAATAACGTTGGAGTTTCGCCAGTAGAGGCGGGTTTCTAAAGGCACTATTCTCATACTGCTGAAGCTTCCTATCCCAGTCTGTAATATTTTGTTTCGGTCTGATGAGGATAAGTTTTGCCAACTGCAATAAAAGTGTGTGATTAATTTTAATGGGAATCGTTTGTTGATGGTAATCACACAACTCCGCATTTTTATGATATTTTGTTACCTAAATAGGTGACATATTTATAATTATAAAAAAGACATCGTTTATAAACGATAGTGATATATTTAAAAATTCAACGAAACCAAACTTCAAGCATCAAAACAAAGGCAATGAGATACACAATTGCATTACAATTCGGTGCCGGTTGCCAGAGCTTTCCAAATGAAATTTTTGGTCCGAATAGATTATTATGACAATAATAAAATAAATTGAGAACATTTTTTTTTAATATTCGTTATGTACCACCAATAATAATATTTCTCCTGTATCGTGTAGGCGTGTAAAATCTTTATATATAAAAATTACGTGTCACATTGTTTGTCCTCCTGAACTCCTAAACTACAGTGTGCAGTTTGGTCCAACTTGAGAGATAGGATAGTTTTTATCCCTATAAGTGACCCTCAATATTTTTATTACGAATTTAAGAATTTTTATAGGTCACAGGGTCGTCGGAGAGGGCAGAACAACGTCTGCCTGGCCAGCTAGTCTTTATACATAAAAATTACGTGTCACATGTTTGTCCGCGATAAACTCCTAAACCACTGAAATGATTTTAATGAAAATTTTGCACACTGTGTGCAGTTTGATCCAACTCAAGAGATAGGATAGTTTTTATCCCGATAAGTCAGCCTCAGTATTTTTATTGCGAATTTAAGTATTTTATAGTACAGAGGTTCGCCGCTAAGGGCAATACAACGTCTGCCTTGCCAGCTAGTATTATACAAACCTCACAAAGACAAACCCGGAATCTAGGCGGAATAATTATTTGTAGGCCTTTCAAACATTTGTTCCGTGCGGGATTGGAACCCTCGGTCTCATAGCACCGCAGCTAAATGCTTTTCTCTGCGCTAGTCGTCATTAAAAGTTGAAGTTACAGCCTATATACGTCTCACTGCTGAACACAGGCATCTGAGAAGGATTTTAAGGCAAAGAAATGTCCGCCTCGTCGTCGTCGTTACCCTTCATATTATTATATTGTTCTTTAAGATCCAACTGTGCGGAATCAAGTGCTTGAATAAATGTTAATATTATTGTTACTAGCTTGGGGTTCTAGACAATTAAAAACTGCCGATTGAATTACCAAAATTGACACTTTAATTACAGAACTCTATTTTATTATACTATTATATTATATTACAATCTAAAACCACACTAATAATAAAACACAATTGTACTACTGATCACTTTAGTTCGCAGTTATTTCGCTTCGAAGTAATCTCTTGTATCGCCAATTCAATACTGCCTCGGTCGTGGTCTATACCGGTCTTATATAGGGCCTCAGATAGTTTCCAGAACCTACTACTGTAGAAACATCTAGTATGTTCGAGTACATATTGGTCCCGAAATTTCTAGAAGGATCTTAACTCTCCTAGTTCTGCTACTCGATACTAGAGGGCGCTAGTGGTAACTAGTGTTGCCATGTACAAGACATTAATAGTGGCGCGCAACATTATTTTAACATTTACTCAAGCTCAATTCACTTTTTTATTTGTTTAAATATATAGTGAATAAAATAATGTGCAATCATTTTAATACTTAAGGTCTCCGAGGTGCTGTCGCCTTTGCATTGGTGCTATTAATAGATCCAGAGGTGGTGAAACTACAGCCGATGTTTGTTACTACTACAATTGCGGTGATTTACTTCACAGTGTTTATTCAGGGAATCACAATAAAACCATTAGTAAAGATTTTAAATGTAAAAACCGTGGAAAAGAGGAAACCGACAATGAACGAAAGGATACATGAAAGGGTAAACACCGTTTAACTTTCACAACGACAATAATGTTTACTTTTACTTGTAATTCCCTTCCTTTTTTACAGTTTATGGACCATTTGATGGCAGGGATTGAAGATATTTTAGGTAAACATGGCAATCACCATATGAGGGATAAGTTTAAGAGATTTGATAATCGATTTATCCGACCTTTCTTGCTGAGAAATTACCAGGTTTGCAACTTATAAGTAACAGTTTATTATCTACATAGTTTAATATTCTGGAATATAGGTACATATCTTAATAGCGCTGCACAGTTCAAAATAGAATTATTAGTAGAAAAGTTTAATTATTTGAGAATATTTTAAAATGTTTCGTTCGTGCCAACGATGAACTAAACATAACTGAAACAATTCTGGTATGAAGGTTTTCATATGATTTTTGGTATTTTAATTGATCTTGTTTCGAGCGCTCTACAACCATGGTCATGAAGGTGAAGCACTCGATACTCTTTGAGATCGAATTGAGAATAAAAATACGTGTAATGTATTGGGGTAAAATCCATAGAATTTGTTTCGTATAGTTAATAGTACGCGCGTACATAATAAGAGATCATAACTACTCCTATGTTTAAATTTCACGAGGAACAATATGAAAACATATTTGTATTTTTTAGGTTTATTATCGTTATTTATTCTGACAAACTTTTTAGGGGGCTGAGCCAAAAATTTTAGAAACATATTCTAAATTAGCTATGAGGGACGCAATAGAATATATGCAGAGAAATGCTTCGACAATTGGAAACATATCTGGTGCTGAGTCGATGTCAGCCATATTTAAGAATTACACAAACGCTAATTTCAACGGAAGGTAAGAAAGCACTTGGTGGTAGCAAAGAACTAAATTTATTAGTCTATAACATTATAATCCTCCTATGTTTTTTGAATAATTGCTGAGTGCCACACTGATAAATAAACGAAACTCGACTCTCAAGTGTATGTACTTGAGTGCAAGTCACAAAACAGTATTCCTAAGTACACCGTTTTGAGATACTGTTTTTATGTGTTTATTTAGCAACGATCTTGAGATGCTGATATCGTAATGAGGGCGTATCAAATGATTACGCACTTGAGTTCGTAGTTGAGTAACGTTTATTAATACGGGCCTAAGAGAGAGATGGAGAGGGCTATGCTCGGAATTTCTCTGTATGATAAAATAATAACAAAAAAAAATCAGTAACCAGGACATCCGCAGAAGAACAAAAGTAACTGACGTAGCGGATCACTAGGCTGCATTGTCAACGGGTCGGCCACAACTCAAAAAATAGACAACCGATGGGCAAGAAAGGGTCTCGAGGTTCAGCTCTGTACTGGCGAGCGCAGTATTGTGTGGCCCTCGATTGGATAGTAGATGACAACCTGGTTAAACATAGTATAGCAGGTAGTCGATGGGTTACAGGGGATCAGGGCCGTAATTTGTGGCAATCTATGGGGGAGGCCTACGTTCAGCTGTGGGCTTTTGACTGGCTGTAGTAGTAATAGTAACCAATCTATATTTTTTATGAGTCTGAAATGAAAAAGGGTTCGAGGCATAGTAAATACCAACGATGTCTTCGACATTGTAGCCTTTGCATGAAATTATGTGTAGGTACTAAAGAATACACAAGCACGTCATAGCAGCTCGGGCTCGGGGACTAGGAGTCCACTTTAAAGTAAGTAGTATGCAAGCCTGAACCCCATCCCCGCTAGTACCACCAAGATTGTAAATCGCAATTTTAAGTGCTGATTTACCGCGGTGAAGGAAAACATCGTAAAGAAATAGCAGCACGTGGTTGTGCTACGCTGCAGCTGTTTTATGACTGTGGTACGAGTGGGACGGCACGACCGGGAATGGATGACGGTAGCACAGAAAACTAGCCTAAACTAGCAGCATAATGCTGCAGTGTTTTGTATGTTAAGTGACAAAAACTACAGACCATTTTTATTAAAATTAAAAAAAGTAAATTTACAGCATATATATAAGTCCCACTGCTGGACACAGGACTCCTCCCATTTCTGAGAAGGTTTTAGGGCAAGGAAATGTCCGCAGCGCTACTTCCAATGAGTGTTGGCGAACTTCACATGTCTTTTTCACAATTTTTTTTAATTAGTAACTAGATATTCCATGTCAGTTATAAGGAGTGACATTGCATTTGAATTTTAATTTATAACCGCCGATAGATCTGCAGCATTCAAGTACCATCGAACCTTAAATACTCTGCTTATTCAATGCATAATATAATAACTTTAATAACTTATTGCATTGTATTTTTTAGTCCTAGCTTTAGCCAGTTGGACTCGTCTACGTGGAATATAGACATGCAGGAATTGGAGTATAATCCGTCCAAAAAAGATTTGACAGATGCACGAATTCACCACTTGCTTGCTGAAGAGCTTTGCAAACCTTATAGAAGAGTAAGTGTATATCTAACATTTTAGTTATATATTTTTTCGACGCCGAATTAAAGTTATCGTTATTGATTTGCTCAACGTTACTTTAGATAATAAATAAGGCATAAGAATTGAACTTAGTTTTCATTATATTAGAGTGACACAAGTGGTAAAATTAAAAATTTTGTACAACCGACTTCAATATAAATAAAATGAGAATTTATATTTTTACGCATTATTAAGACTAACTCAAAAACTACTGGTCAGATCATGATCAAATTTATATAGGACAACATGAGAAGCACCAGCTTTTATATAAAAGAAATTATCAAAATCGGTTCTCCTAGAAAATAAAATTCTGAGGTAACACACATAAAAAAATACAGTCGACTTGAATACCTCCTCCTTTTTTGAACTCGGTTAAAATAACTGATGCTAAGAGTCTAATGCGACTTATAAATACCTGCAACTCACTTCAAATAAAGAAGCTCACAAAATTATTTCTGATAAGAACAAGACGAAATGCCACGGCGTGTAATTACTCTAATAATACTTACTTTCTTACTCTTTGAACCGAAACATCGCAGTGATGGGTGCACCGCTGCTTGTCGCCAGAAATAGGTAACAGGGTGCCATGGTAACAACCCAGATAAACTTCTGGATAGAAAACAAATACGTGTTGCGTATGGTCATACAAATGTGTGTTAGTATGTGTTAGTATGGTGGTTCTGTTACCTTACATTAAGATTACCTTTTTTATTATTTTTAACGTAAATAATTTATCAAAAGTTTCTATTTGACAATTAAAATTACTAATATATGAATTTAGTATTTTTTTTATAATTCGTTTTTTCGTAGATAAAGTTAACTCAAAGGAAAGTTACATCTATACAAATAAATAAAAATTTAAGTGTCTGTTTGTAATGTCAAAATTACAGTTTTTTACTAATTGCATATGAAAGTATATACCGCACTTATAACAAAAACACAATTTTTAAAATTTTTGTCTGTCTGTCTGTCTGTTTGTTCCAGCTAATTTCCGAAACGGCTGAACCGATTTTGACGGGCCTTTTTCACTGGCAGGTAGCTGATTTCATAAGGAGTAACTTAGACTACTTTTATTTTAGAAAAACAATTAGGGTTCCGCGCAAAAACATAAAAACCCTAACACGCGAGCGAAGTCGCGGGGAACAGCTAGTTTGCATATTATATATTAATACCATACATTTCCTACCGACTTCAAAAAGGATGAGGTACCTATTCCATTCGACTGTATGTTCTTTTTTTATGTATTACTTCATAACTTTTTTCTGATTTTAACCGATTTTAATGATTCTTTTTTTATTTGAAAGCTGGTGCTTCACATGTGGTCCCATATAAATTTGATCAAGGTTTGACCAATAGTTTTTGAGTTATTCTTAATAATTTATATTGAAGTCTGTTGTAAAAAACAAACTGTGTACAATATGGCTGTATTTGATGCAAGAGGCGGGTTGCCATCTCCTAAAATGAAAAAGCCGGACTCGGCGCTCCAAAAAGCCGGACTTTAGACCCTAAAAGCCGGACAGTAATTTTTAGTCAAACATACCTTTCTAAGGCCATGCAGCCATAAAACTTGCCAACTCCAACCCCCCGAGAAAACAAACTAAAATACTCCGTTACATACGTTAATTGTTTATTAATCAATTACGGCACAGTTTAAAGTGTATACGTTACTTATTTATTAATTCTGCAAGCGATGTGTACAAAGCGTTACAGTAACAAAAAGCCTAACAAAAGCCGGACAGGCCGGACACATAAAAATTTGGCCGGTCACAACCCGAAAAAGCCAAACATGTCCGGCTAAAGCCGGACAGATGGCAACCCTAGGCAAGAGTGAATAGACTTTTATTAAGATAAGTTAGTGCGCTTTACCAACTTGGGCTGCATCACCATTTACCCCACTTACCATCAGGTGGGATAATAGTCAAGCACTGGCTTAGATTTATTGAAAAATGTCTCTTATATATGGGGGAATAACGAATTCGTGAAATACCAGAAATAGAAAGCAACAAAAGTTTCAACAGTGCCTGCCGGATGTTGCGATAACGGCAAATTCCATTATTAAACCTGGGAAAGGCCTAAAGAGGCTTCTCATTCAGGAGTGTAATGATTACAGGCTATTGAGGTGATAACAACTTCAGATAATAAGTACATAAAACTATATTAAAATTATTTCGATAGCACCGTCGACTCAGCTACAGTAGACACGCAGTAAATGATCGTGATCTGGGAACACAAGTAAATTATAAAACGCACATGAACATACGACGGCTTGTCGGCGACCGAAAACACCATCACAAGCGCAGCAAACGTGGAAAGCAGGTATGTCTTACACTATATTAATGACAGAATGCCTAAGATAGCTTCATGCAAACTTAAGTGATTACCTATAACAAAAGTTGTTTAGGAAGCAACCCCTATACATCAATGGAATATTAGTTAACAAGGAGGTTAAATAGTGATAGTTAATAAAATGATCCTAATGGATTTTCAGTTTTTTTGTTTGGATTTTGATTTGTTTTTCTATGGAATTAAGGGTGACAAACGAACACACAGTCAAAATTTTTATAACTGGCTCTACGGCTCTGAGTTCTAGCCCTTCTGAGCCTGAAGTTACAATGTATAATTATCCTTCATAGTAGACTGCTTCACAATATGTTGATGCGTAACATTGTGCAGCCCTTGGAAGATTTTGACGGCAACTTGAGCCAGCAGGCAGCTGAAAGTTGGCGATGGTATCTCAAGGCGCCTAAGCAGACAGATACCTTATCCTGGAAAATTACATCACCATCAGAGCACTTGTTTCACCGTTTCCACTAATAGTTCACATGCACGGACACTTAATACACAAAATCGCACCACTTTTATATATCAAAATCCACTTCAAACCATTATTTAAACAATAATACAGGAGCAGCAAACCGCCGCCGGTCAAGTTCCCGCCAAAACTCACACACAGTCAACCTGGTAATAAGTGCACAGACTAACTAATAGCATAGATTCTAGGACAAGTGCACGCTGTGGCCCATAGACAAAACCTATATTTATCTTGTCTACTTGTTACCACTGAGTACTGAAATGGAATGACTCGTTACCAGTAAAAAGGGTCCTCGGTTCTCGTCACTTGCTATACGAAACACAGCACCATTATGATGCTATCTCACGCTGTTACTATTTCCGAACGTAATCTCTCCCCGGTTAAGCCGATCCATTTGTGCTGCAGCAATAATACAGCTGCAGAGTGACTATATCTTAAAAAACTAAAACTCTATTTTAATTTATTTACAACCTTTTAAAAAAATGCCGTTTAAGAAGACCATGATAGATATGCCAGAAGTCAGGCGTAAAACCACAAGACCGGCGACGGGCAGCAGCGTCAAACAAGTGAGACGTCTGGTACTGCCATCGTCAATTCGCCTGCCAAGAGCGACGATTGACGATTAAAGCAGATTAAATATACAATGGAAAAGACCCATGTCCAGCTGTGAACTTCTACGGGCGTATGATGATGACGATAATGCTGAACAAAATGATTTATTACAATATTATTATTGTAGTATTAACAACTTTTCACTTATATATTTCAGGATGGCAAAAACCATGTATCTTTCCCAGAATTCCAGCAAAATGGTTCAGCCAAACAGTTTACGCACGGTAAAAAAAAGTATTATAGATTAGGTACTTAATTTATTTCTATTTTATTATCACGAGTTTCACTCGCATGCACGTGTGGATTTAAGTATTTTTGATTTTTTTTATGTTAAATTTTTAGCTTTTTAATTTTTAATTTTAGTAGTAAACTTTTTTATATTTTGCAAAATACACAGCTTTTTATATCTAAATAAATATCTAAACAGCATTTAATAGATATTTTTATTTAGTTATTTTTACTTTGTTTGCCGTTGATTAAGCATCCTCATTTTAAAAATATTAAAATATTAAAAAACGAAGGAAAACTGAAGTATCTAGTTAAGATACACACTTTCGCTGTAGACATAAGCATTAAAACATATTATAGTACCAATGTTGACTAAAGTATTGCAAAAGGTGCAAGAAGAATCAAATAAATGTAAACAATATAATTATATATTAGTCCTGGGTTATCTAGAATAAAAATTCGTATATTCTAACATTTTTGTTCTGAACCTTTGGGTTTGTTCTATTTCACGATGAAATTTTGATTTCGGTTCGGATAACAATAACCGAAGTCTACTTCATTGTAAAATAGAATAACTAAGTGATTTGTACGTGCAATGACTCCTGTATCTTTAAAGAAAATTCTTGAATTAAATAGTTTTTAAATTTTAGTAATAATAAAGTAAGAAAAATACAGTGTTAATAAATATTGAAATGTAATTTACTCGTTTGTAGACTACATAGACGAGGTTCTACAAGAGGACGAGGAACGCGAGCCGCGCCGTGAAGAAAACGATGGCGGTATTACTTTCACTGCCAAATCCCCGCGTAGGTATTCTGCATGGAAAACTTCGTGTGTTACTCTGTGTTTGTACTTCAATACCATTGACATAATGTATTCTATTTACATGATACTCGTAACAATCCGTAACGTACGTCTGATTAAAGCTTTTGGTATGGCGGAGCCAAGAGTCGTTACTATGCACATAATACTATTGGGTTGGAATCTCATAATTATATCCTAATATATATTATATACACTCTCAAAATATACTTAAATGTCACTAAGAATCTTTATAAAACATTTTATTTTTATTTTGGTCTTAACCTAATTTATATTGACTCCTTTGGTTTTCAGTAAAAGAGTACCTAAATGTAACAAAATTTGATTTGTCTTTATTAGGACTAAAATTTATTATATAGAGTTACTAATCAGTTCCTCTATTTATTACTAATAAACGCATATTTCAATAAATTATTAATCTATCTCTTTATTGGAAGACGTTACGTTATTTATGTTTTTTTTTTAATAATATACCATAACAACAACGACATGGTTTGTTGTCAACGAACGTACTGAAGTACAAATACTATTTAATTGTGGACAAATGTATTTTATTGCCCGTACCATTTATTATTAATTTAAAAAAAAATCTGATGTAAGTAATATAATGGAAGCTTACGAGTATTTTGGTAAGTACCTATTAAAAAAAATTGCTTAGCTAGAATTAAAGTTTCGTTACTGAGTATGGCCAGAGGTATGGCTATTTCATTGTGAATGTCTTGAAACGCATTTGTTGTAGCATGGAGTCCTTATCCTAATAATTTTAACTCACTATACTTCAATTATGTTTAATTCAAGTTTTAAGAAATTACAAATTTTTAAATCTTTCATAGATTTTTTTATTGCTATTCCACTTCTTTACCATCTTCTGTAACTATAAAATACGTAAAGAAAATCTTATTCGATCCGAAAGGAGCAAAAAAAATACCCGGCTACGCGTTACTTGGCTCAACAGCCAACAACGTTGTGTCAAAAATTCAAAGCAATCGGTAAAGAATTTTCGGAGATTTATGACTTAAAAAACTAACGTTTACATTTTTATGTATATATACATATATAGACTTAAAAATGTTATTGTTTTTGAAAAACATATTGTTTTACAAAAGTTTGCTTCAAATTAAGAACTCTTTTAAAATCTGGCATCACCGTCACAAAATCGTCAGCGACGGCGCATAAGTAAAGAAACCGTACAGAGGCAAAGTTTCTAAGCTCTTAGGAGCTGTCAAAATTTTTACCTATTTTAATAGGGTTGGCACAAGAGGATAAAACATAATAAACAAAACATTTATCAGCTTTTATTATATACTTAAGATAGAATATTTTTTTATAAACAACTTATTCTATATATTTTATTTTATAATTTTTGTTCTTCAACAATTTATTGTTCCTTTTAATTAAATGGCAAATTATGAATCTAATGTAAAGTTTTTTTTTTTAATAATCTATTGGAAAAAACTCGCATGGCATAACAAATATTGTTTGGAAAACCTAAAAGTGCACGCCTCATCAGCGTTTAATTTAATTTTGATGAAAAAAATTAAAATAGTGACGATAATTTTTACAAGAAACAAAAACAGAGAAGCTAATCGACTTTCATTAATAACTTGTAAACGGTGTTGAGTTCAATGACAAACATCAATTGGGATCCTCCTTAGAACTTATGGAATCTTATTTAATACTATATATCTCAATCTATTGCTTACATTTCTATTAAGCGAGAAGACTCACCGATGCGACGCATAGACCAACGGAGGGCAGTTCATACATTTTTCAATTACATTTTTTGTTATATAATCTAAAGTTTATCAATTAGTTAATAAACTAATCTTATAATTACATGTCTGTAAATATGGTAACATTAATAATCATATGGATGTGATGTCTAGCTCTTTATGTAGCGAAATTGACGTATGGCCATATATCGAGAGAGAATCTTGTACATGTTTTAATATTACCAATGATTCTTTCGAGATCAAAATATTCGCAAAATTTTTGCACAAGCAATTCATACATTCATTTTAGTTCTCACATTGGCTGGAACTCAAACAAGTACCATCATTTGTCAGCAAGTTGAGTGTTGGAAAAGCATTTCCAAACAAAAATTTTACAGGTCTTTTTTTTTAAGAAAGCTTAATACATGATTTTTCGAAGTGATCCTCACAGAATCTATATTGTTGCCTCTTTATAATCAGAAAGTTTTGAAAGGAAATCTTCACGTCCGACAGCTTTTAACGACTCTTGCTGTCTGAAATAATAATAATAAGGAGTTCACTCAGTTTACTCCGTGACGGACCACTCCAGGCAAATGCAGAAGGCTGTGCTCCTTGATACCGCTCGCATCGCTCGGTTTCTTTCCCTTTCCCCCTAAGCCTCGGCCGTTTGGTCTCCCCTGTCGAGGTCTTCCATCTGGTTGGGATTTTATTTATTTATGTATTATTTATTTATTTATGTTAGTATATTAAATATATATTTATGTTTATTTATTCACTATTTCCTTTAATATATTTATTCTACCCAACCAGATGAGAATACTCTATAAATACTCCAAATAATAATAAAAACATGAACCTACGTATTTATAAACGTAATTATTCAATTATAAAAATTATATTAATTATAGTTATCTATCTACCACATTGAAAATAATAAATTATAGTCAAGTTACTACTTACCTAGTGTAATCTTTGGGATAATTAAAAAAATATATATAATTTTATTTATTTCTGTTATTGTTCATATAAAAAATACAGTAAACCATAATAACACTTTTTTATATTTCTTGTGACAGAAATAATTCTTTAAAAAATAAAATTTTACACTTATTCATTACACAACCCTGAGTTTGAGCACCGGCCGAGGCGGTTTAAAGCAGCTTCTCTCTGTAGGTGACGATCCGCCAGTGCTCACGCACACACGCGCCTCAAGCTTGTCGTAGTTTTATTATCATAGCGCGATTGTACCTAGTCAGGTCATAAATTCTGTCACATGTTTAATATAAAATAATTGAAACAAGTTTATTCATTATGTAACCATTTATATACTAAAATGAACTTAACAAAACATAGATTCTTATGACACTAAAGTTTATTCAAAATGACCTCCGTGATTTTGAATACAGGCCTTTAATCTGCGCGGCCAGTCGTCTATCGCAGCACGAACGAGGTCCATGTCAATATCGGCGGCTGCCTTAATCAAGAATGTCTTGAGTGACTCCGAACTGGGATGAGGCTTTGAGCACGCCTTTTCCTCCAAGTGTTGCCATATCTTGTAATCTAACGGATTCAAATCTGGACTGGAGGAGGGCCAGTATTCGTACCGGATGAAGTCGATTTCACGCGCCGCCAGCCAGTCTTGTGTGCTCTTCGCTCTATGAGCTGGCGCCGAATCTTGTTGGAATACCCAGTGCCTGTTATTGAACATGGTAAGAGGAACAGGTTCCACAAGGTTCGTCAGGACTGTATTTTGATACACAACTGCATTCGTTTTTACACCTTTCTCACAAAAATGTACCTCTGTTAAGCCCCAGTAAGAAACTCCCAACCATACCATGAGCGAGGATGGAAAATGACCTCGTTGGACACGCGGAATACGGTTGCTCGCTTCTTCACTACTGTGTGCGTACATCTTATCATTTTGTTTGTTGTAGCTCTCTTCTACGGTAAAAATTTTTTCATCCGAAAAAAGAATTTCCCGATATTTTTTTCCCGCGTACCGCTTCAACAAAGCGCGGCATTTCTTCAGTCTCAGGTCCATTAGACGAGCATTCAAACGATGTCCTTTTTTTCTTCGATATGCCCGAAGCCCTAAATCTTCATTTAACACCCTTTTCACCGTGGTTCTGCTTAACCCCATCTGAAGGGCCAACAGTTTCTGCTTACGTTTGGGATTTCTTTGAATTCGCGCCTTCACAGCTTTTATCACTGTTGGAGTCCTAACAGACCGAGGGCGACCACTTCTTGACCTGTCATCTACACTAGAGTCTTCATTGTATCGTTTGATGGTACGATAAAAGAATCTTTTGGTTATATTTAAATTTTTCAGTATGTCAAAAATTTGAATTGGCGCGTAACCGCAGCGATGCAACGCAATAACTGCAACACGGTCTTCTTTAAGCGTCCACTCCATATTTAAAAATGAGTAAAATTCTAAAAAGTATACAGTTTTATTTTCATGAATGATTCGAAATTCGAATTCAATAAACTTTTTTGTGGCCAGCATTCTAAAAGAAAAGTTTTTACTGTGTGACAATACTTATGACCTGACTAGGTATAAAGCTTTGCCTCTGTACGGTACGGTTTCTTTACTCATGTGGCGACGGTACGTAATAATATTATTTATTAAGTGGTAGAACACGGTATATTCAAACCTGTAGAGGCGGTTACCCAACATCCACCCGCGCAAATTTTATATATTTTTTGTAGAATATTATTTTATTTGTCCTCTGCAAAAGATTATATGAACGAAATCATACCCCAATTCCCAAAAAGCACTCTCACGAATCGGACAGGGTTTTCTTTTACATATTGTAATTTATTACATAAAACAGTTACTTCAATTGTGAACATGTTTATTTTCTTAAGAAAACTTGTGCTGCAAAATATGAATCAATTACCAGAAATGCTCGTTTGATCTTATTTAATTAAATAATCTTCAGTATTATCCTGTTTATGTTAACTTGCTCTTCATTTTTGCTTGTTTAATGTTTGTTTCAATGTCGTTTTCTTCCCTTCTGGCAAACTTCATGCGGCATCGCAAACTAACATATCGACAAATGGCGATGCTAAATTCAGCTGGATTAAAAGAAGTCAGTCCGACGTCCTCGCATAAAGAGAACAGTAGTTCACTCTTAAACCAATTGGCTAACCTGCCTGGATTTAATCCTTTGAAAGCGAGGATTGTTAAGCAGTATGCTAAAACACCCGAAGAAATACTGCCGACAGCTGTTGAAAAATCATTACCGTGGAGAAGGGACAGATCCACGTACAATTTCGGTATGTGTTTACTAAAAACTGAACGTTTAGTCACAACGGCATTCGCTTCGGATGGCCAAAGTTTTAGTTTGGAGCGCTTTTGGCTTTTGACTACTTAATATAATTTACGGCGCTTTTTAAGCATAATATTTTGGCCACAGAATAAGAATTATCTATGAACGTTGCACGTTTTGTGGTAAGCATATAATCCCTAAGCTTGTTGAATGTAATAGTGAAACCAATTGGCGAGTTGTGGCGGCGGCACGGCACGGTAATGCTATGATTTCACCACAAATCCGGCGTAGCATCACAGTGTAAGGTAGCATCACTACAGTACCACAACGGCGGTAGATTTAGTCTTACTGTAGAAAATATCACTTTATGGCGTTAGAAGCCTTGAGCTAGTTGCTTTGTCACTCCGAATTTGCAACGGACAATTTCTCATGCTACGGTTTCTTAGTTCTTTTAAGTAGGATGCAGCAATATCACTGTTGTGATGCCGCGCCACCGCAGCGCCGCAACGCACCGCGTGGCTTCGCACTAAGCAGTCTGAGGCCCGTATTAATAAACGTTACTCAACGACGAACTCAAGGGCGTAATGATTTGATACGCCCTCATTACGATATCATCATCTCAAGATATATATTAACAATCACGATCCGTGAGTTAACTCACGGACTGCCCTCACTCAGATTTTAGCACCTCAAATACACACACTTGAGAGTAGATTTCCGTTTATTAATCAGTGCGTCACTCAGCTGATATCGTAAATTTAAGCCGCACCTTGAGATATGTTTATTAATAAGAAACCTCAAGATTGTACTCACGCACTTGAGTTGAGTAACGTTTATTAATACGGGCCTGAGTGTCTGAGCGTGCAGCGGGGTGGCCTATGCGGCGTGAAAACCAAACGCCCTCGTATTAATTCAAGTTGTCTACTACAAGTTCTAAGTTCTAATTCTACAAGTTCTAGTTGTACGTACCACAGTACGCTCTGAACTGACTTAGCTTAGTTAAATACGGATAATTATATTGTTACTACAGGCATTAATGGTGGCGCTCAACAATATTCTTTGATTTAAATTTTAATGACTCCTATGTCATCAGAAGTTTGATTTCATAAAAAGATGTCATATTTAATTTTGTATTCTCTTTTAAATTGAGTAGTATTAATGGTTATCTCTGTTTATAGATGTTGTGCAATACTCATTCCATTTTCAAGTAATATTTAGTATTCTTAAGCATGTAAATTACTAAAATATTTGTTAATTTCAAAATGTTGAATCAGCCCTACTTATAAAATATAAGTCTTCGAATATGTATATTCGAAAATATTATTTTAAAAAGAAATTGAATAATATAACATATTAAGTATTAACATGGCAAATAGTTGTAATAAAATTTTGTAGCATGATTAAAGTAATACACAAAAAAATTGTACATATCTAAAAAATACATGATGCAACGTCTTGTGCCTTGTGTTTTTGTTGTAACAATATAATATGGTACAAAAATGAATACACGACGGTGTTCTTCGAAACCTCCAAACTAAAAATCCTTTTTATTTTAGTGCCAAACGAGGACATCCTAGAGGAGGACGAAAGAAGAATGTCGAACGATAACGGTAGGGCCGCAAAATTACAATATTTAATATAAAATATAACACATAATTTTGAATTGGTACAAAATATTTAAGAAAACTAAAATTTACATTTATGTTCCGGTTTGCATAGATTTCAGAATTTACAATATTTTGCTCATTATACCTGAGATCAGATTGTGTGCACATATTACAACGGAATAAATATTTTGTATGAACAAAATAAGTTCACTTTATTATTCAGTCAGGTTACAATTACATCCTTTAATTATTTAGGCAAACGTTTGTGGCGGCTATCGGTGCAGCTGATTTATTTAAATTTAAACTTTCCAAGATCCATTTTGGCCACCAAAAGTTGCATATTATACCATATATCTTCTTAATCATGAGAGTTGTCTATTTCCAGAAGTTCCACGTTTGATCATATAACGATTTGTTTGCAAAAGAATAAAATTGCTCTTTTCTACAGATACTTATATGACGGTAGTCGAGCAAGCACGAGTAACTACCCCTACGGCCACGGAGACCATGTTACCTTGGAAGCGAGAGGAGACAGAAGGGTCGGGAGCTCTTAAACAATCTGAGTTTCCATCTTGGGCCTCCAACAAGGAATATCTAGCGTATAGTTCCCCTTCTGCGACTTTTCTAGGTAAAGGTCTTTCGAAATTAAATTGCGTATTTTTCTCTGATAAAAATACTTTTTAATTATAAATCTATAGTCACTTTAGTGATGCATTTGTCATTTATAACATTTATATACTGTCGATATAAATCATGTAAGTAACACATTGATGAAAATTATTTCATTTCATCAATGTGTTACTTATAATTATAATACATTTCAACAAAGCAATAAGAATTCAATGTCATCATCTTAAATGATTTGTTTTTCTTTTACGTAAATCACAAGAGATCGTCAAAAAGATATTTCAAGCTTATATTTGATATTCACGCAGTAATAAATTAGTTTTAAATTTTAGTAATTTTAGTCTTTGCATATTAATTTAAGATTTAAGTTCTATAAACGCTAAATTGTTTATATAAATCTCGTTTTATTATACTCGTATGCTTGACTTAAACTTTTATTTTTATTAAAATTTTTAAAGCTTTATTATTTTGTTGGACACAACAAAAATCATCCTGAAAAATGCTTCATCTTTTTATCTTCTCTATATATAACAATCAATTGCTGTCCGTTAGTCTCGCTAAAACTCAACAACGGCTCGACCCATTTTGATGAATATTTTGTGTGTTTGAATGGGTCCCTAGATGATTTAGATTCACGTTTTACCTGGTACGTGGCGCTGTTGTCGAGATCCATAAATCACCCGTGCGAAGCTCTCTAGTAAATATTTAATATATTTATATGTTCACCTTAAAAGCAAATCGAACAATTTTAAATTAGCAAAGAATTTATTCACATTTTATTTTATTTAGAATTAGAATTAGGGGAAAAACAAGCACACAGTCCAACTGATGATAAATTAATGCAGTGGGGCCCATAGACATCTACATTTATCCTTGATTAAGAATCAAAATGCAGATGCGTTGTCACCTCAGAGGACTGAGATGGAATGTCTCGTTCCCAGTAAAAAGGGTCTTCGGTTCATTACACTCACCTTATGAAACACAGCAGCATTAAGCTGCTATTTCACTCTGGGATTCTGTGAGAGCGTGGTCCTACCCCGTCGAGTCATAATATAGCTGTAGCTCTACCACGTCAAATAATTATATTTGTAAAAACATGGATAAAAATCATTTCGGATATGAAATGAAATTACTTTTATTTACGTATCTATTTCCAAAGAACGATTGCAAATTATTATTTTTCCTCGTAATTGCATTTTTATACTACCTATGTTGTTTAGTAACAAATATAGGATAACTTGAGTATTATTTAATTTTAATATTTTTTACCCAAATTTATAAAAGATTTTTATTTGCAAATCCCTATCGCTGAAATTTTTTTTTACAATTTAGTTCACGCATAGTGTAGGATAGTTATATGACATTTTCTCACCCAGTTTTTTCTTTTCCCCCTATCCCTTATAAAACACCCGTCATCGCCTTCCTAAAACTAGGTGGTATAGAGAAGCCAAAACATCCAAAATCTATCATAGGTTTATTCAGAAGAGAGAGCTCAAGTTCCACGCAAGGAGCACCGGAGTTACTCTCAGGGTCAGAAAACGAAGGCAATAAAACAGACGGCAGTAAAGGCGAGAGTTCTTCTGTAAAAGGAGAATCAGCGGGTTCTTCAAGAGCAGCCCCAAATTTCCTTTCGAAAAGAAGCACAAGTTTGGGTGGTCCGTCAGTTTTATTGATGGAAGACGTGGCACACTCTGACCCACTTGGTGCCTCAACAAGACCTGCTAGTATAATGCAAGGACCACATAGAGGGCAATGTAGGAGAGGATCTATGCTGGAGTTAACTGGGTAAGATTTTACTGTACAATTTTTGTTTTTAATTATAATTTGGTTATTAATTAAATTAAAAATATTATCATTTAGTCTATATCATGATAGCTGTGTATTTTTTGTTAAATTAAATTTTTTGTACAGCCGACTTCAATATATATAATTTAATGTTGATTTTTTAAAACCGCTAGATCGTATTCGATAAAATTTGGGAAGTATAACCCTTTGAAACAAAAAAAGAATTTTCCAAATCGGTTTAGGTGTCTTCGAGCAATTGGTGAACGTACATAAAAAAGATTCCGACAAATTGAGAACCTCCTCCTTTTTTGAAGGCTGTATGTTTTAGGGGGCGGCATTTTGGGAAAAAGAAAATTAGCCGTTATTGAATTGTGAAAAGATAATATGATTTAATTAATCTAATCTAATATATAAAAATTTACTTTTGTTTGTTCGTATTTTATGCGCTGCCATACCGTTCATCAGATTGCGCTGAAATTTTGTCAACTTATTGCTTGCACATGCGCGAAGGTTATAGGCATAGTACAAGTTAATTACAGTAGGTGGCACGCGTGTCGTATCGACATATTTATTGGGAGTAATTGGAAGTAAAGACTAGAAATGAGTTGGGGAGTGACTCGAAGTTTAGGCCTAGTCAGTTTGAATAGCATATCATGTAGAGGATGTCATGACGGTCATGGTTGAACCGGGGCAAAAAGTTCTCATTACACTCCTAGGGGGTCAAAATGGCCAAAAACCAAAAAAATTTAAATTATTATTACGACTATAACTCCGCCTCCTTTGGAGGTTCTTACTATTTGCTTCATGGTTCTTACACAGTAATATACATAATTGTTTTACTATTTTTAAGAGATTATATTTCTAAAATGGGGAGGTAGTGTTAGAGGCTCCATTTTTTGGCTCTGCCAGCCCCGGGCGGCAGCATCCTATGCTGTCTTGTACAATGTCCGTCTCTTAACTTGAAGACACCCAGATTGTAATCGGACGCAAAGACAGACGCCGGCAGATTCTACTGCGGCTATCTTAAATACGAAGTTTTTCACGCAAAGAAACTCCTACACCACAGTTAGTAACGAATTTTTTTGTAATTATTCCAGGTCATTATCGCGGGATGCAATCACCGAGGAAAAATGTAGTAAATCACTGCCGGAGAGCGAAAGGATGGGTGTACGGAGGCTGCAACTGGGACAGCAAAGTCTACCGCGGGAGCCATTTATTAGACAAATGGCGATGACTCCCAACCTTCTCACCAGCTCATCGTCCGACGAATCGTCCGACGAGAACACCTGAGTACCGCGCCGTGGTGACCAGGACCGGTTGCCACTACTCAGGTACAGGACATTAGAATAAATTGTGATCACAAAATATAGCCAGTTTTAAATTAAAAACAATACCTAATGTAATCCGTGCTGTGAATCTGTGGTGTAATTATAGTTAAAATGTTTGAAAGCGTAGATACGTGAACAGTAGTCTAGGTGAAATATAGTATGGTTGAGGTTATGTGTAAACATTATTTTAAAGAGAGACAGCGTGACTATGAGCAGTAAAAAATAAGCCACTTTGATATGGCTAAAATCTGCTTGTAAAAATATTTAAAAATTGTTAAAAAATTTATTAATGACTTTTTGTGGATGTCCGATGGTAACATACCTTAGAGCATACATAAGCACACTGTATATTATATATACTCTAAGGTATAATACTTATTAATTTCATAATTCTTTTTGTAATCAATTGAAGATAGTGACAACTAATGCACTCTATAGCCAAGACTTCGGTAGATATGTTTTACCTTTACGAAAAGATCACCGCGAGGTTAAACTTAAGAAGTTTGAAGAATACCTTATTACTATAAAGCAGTGAACATATTTAAATATTATAATGGGTGTTCTTAACCCACTGCATTAAGCACTTTTTACTTTTTAATCGATAAGTAATCAGCTTCTAAACGTTTTCGAACCAACAATAATTAACCCGCATTAATTGTCCTAGCTTTCAGATCTTCAAACATTTTTTGTACCTAATTAATCCACAGCGTGTTTTATTTCTGTAAATCTTACCAAAATAAGCATTTTATTGAATTGACCTAATAATTGATTTAGAAATTCACGATGAGCATACGTGTGTAGTTTAGTTTAATGTCTATTACAAACGTATGCTTAGCGCTTTTATTTTGAGATAGGTTTTTTTTTTAAATATGAAGTAATATGTACTAACATTATAGGTACTTCAATTTACATAGATACATACATATTTTATGGATTAAACATTTTTGCAATAATTTGTAAATTCCTTTGATACTACTGGTCAATTTCTGATTATAACTATTTTGTTAACAATCTAATTTAAAACATTTTTTGTTTATTGAAACTTGTTACGTAAATAATTGTAACGATATTGTAACGTCAATGTTAATGTTATCAAATAAAAAAATATTACTTGGGTACAATGAGTAAAGACATAATAGTTCCTTGTACCTTCAACAGTATTTTTATATGTCGTTTGTAATAGTACTGTTAAATTAAGAATATAAAAATAGGTTACACAATACTGAAAGTCATAATACATATATGATATCATAATATATTATATTTTATTTATAAGAGATGGCGCTAGTTTCCAATGACAATATAATATTTTAATAAATTTATATTAAACACAACTGGTGAACTGAAGGAAAATAACTACATATTGTAATTGAGGCAATTGTTCTGTTCAATTAAATTTTTATCTTCATTTATTTGGAATGTTGCATATTACAGTGTTATTATTGCTTTGATTTTTTCAAATTCGTATTTAATAATGGTATTTTTCACATTTGATTACGCGTCATTTCATAAGTTGGTGTAGGTACATGCGATGGAAAATTCATTCAAGATATAAGACTATTTTGGACGTCGTGCGGTGATATGGTGACGGTTTTCACGTGGTAGAGCCAAATAAACCAAATAGATAATCAAATTAATGCTACAGCTATAAGGTCTATATATATTATGGTTGCAGCAGTAATGGGTCTGCTCGACCGGAGAAGGACTACGTTCTTACAGAATATGGGCGTAGCTTAATGCTGCTGCGGCGACCCTTTTTAATTATAACGAGGCATTCCAGCTTAGTCGTCTGCATTTTGATTCTTAATCGAGGATATATGTAGATGTCTATGGGCTACAGCAGGTGGACTGTGTGGTCGTTTGTCACCCTTATTCCATAAATAAGTTTAAAGAAATACATTCTTATTGGTCTCTAAGTAACTTTAATTATGATTCATAATTCACAAGTTAGTCTTGATAGATAAGAAGGAATGGGGTATTTGCCTCTACACAGTAGAAATATCATCTAAACATAAATAAAATTGAAGTGTCTCTCTGTAATATCGAAATAACTGCATTTTCACTCGGGGGGCGTACTTGAAACACACATGAAATTAAAAGATGAATAGTCATTTGTAAAATTTTTGTCTGTCTGTTTGTTCGGTATCATCTTCGGAATGGCTAAACCGAATGTGATGAAATTTCACGAACCGAAAGAGAACAATGCCAGGAGTGATGTAGGCTATACTTTATCCGGAAAAACTTGGAGAACATTTATTAAATCGAAAAATTGGTAAATTAAACGGTCATTGATATATATTGCAAAAAAAATTAAATGATGCCACATTAATAGATCCCACTCAGGCGAAGCCAGGACGGACCGCTTATACATCAAATTGACCTACGTAAACATTTTAACAATGATTTGTCTGTAAACGGACATTTTAAACCATGCTATTACAAACTTGAATAAAGTGATTTAATATAGCAAGTTATAATTTTTTATTCTATAATATACCTTCTGTAGATTGTAATCAATCACACAAGACTCGCGTTAGGTGGAAAATATTGTAATCGATACAATATACAATATAAAGAAAAGGCCTGGACTTCTTAATAAGAAGCAGTAAATAACATAGATAGCACCAAACATATCTGAAACGTACTTGAAAACATAGGTACTCGTAAATCTAAAGTGTAGATTTTTATCTACCTGTTTATAAGACCATTTATTTGGAACTAGCTGTTCCCCGCGACTTCGTCCACGTCGAAATTATTACAGTTGGATTCATGGGTGTTAACTTTTTTGTGCGGAACCATGATTCTTTTTCCAAAATAAAAGGAGCCTAAGTTAATCCTTATAAATCAGCTATCTGCCAGTAAATGTCCCGTCGAAATCGGTCCAGCCGTTTCGGAGGTTAGCCCGAACAAACAGACAGACAGACAGACAAAAATTTTAAAAATTGTGTTTTTGTTATAACTACCGTATATACTTTCATATGCAATTAGTAAAAAGCTGTTATTTTGACATTACAAACAGACACTTCAATTTGATTTATTTGTATAGATTATAATCTTGTTATTGGCAATTCGAGATCATTTTATTATGGTAAATTACAAAATGATATTAAAAATTTCTTTCGATAATCACATTAATGCTTTAGAGCAAATTTATAACTTAACACTTTAAAGGCACTGTTTTAACAGTAGATCTACAATGCGTTTAACTTATTATAGTACAATAATAGTGATAAGTAGTACAATATTATCCGATACAAAAAAAAAACTGTAAATAGCTTTTCTTATCGGCTTATCTATTTTACCTACAATTTGTAGAAAGATTATTGTCACGACCATCATCATCCAAATGGACTTTTGCTAAATATTCGACTCTCTCAAGGAAGATCAGCCGTAAATAGTGAATAACTTGTTCATTTATCAAATTTTTATGCATTATATATAAGTCAGTATGTCTATCATACTTATTCATTTTGTATATAATATTAGTGTATTATTTTGTTATTATATAATATGTTGATTTAGTTTATGGAGGTAATGGCGTGTAAGTTTATCATAATACACCACCTCCCACTGTACAATACTTTAATTTTACGTTAATCTTAAGGTTGTCTGTTAGAGATCTCTATTTAGCGATAAGACCGCCATATTGCATCTATCTCTAAAGTGTACATAGATACCTACTTGCCAGACGGTTTGTTAATTAATTGCTGTACCATCCCTCACGTTTTATATTTGCTTATAATTACCCGCATTGTCGTCGAGTTTTTCTGCACATTGTGTACGCGTACGCCACGAGATTTTAGTGACATATCTCAATAAAACTAATTTTATTATTCCTACCCAATGAAATAAGACGATGGGCTATAGTCCACTAATGAAAATTGTTGCGATGGACAACTGCATCCAACTTCAAGCAAAGACGGCTGAAGATGCATTGTCACTGTTGAGAACTAAGATGGAATGTCTTACAACCTATAATTCTACTGGCTCTTCACACCTTTCTAATAAGAATACAACAATTATGCCATTGCATTGTTACACGGCAATTTAGCAACCTACCGACGGACTCTTAAGTCCAACGCAGCAAAAGAGACCTACGATCTACTGAAATCTTAGGCCACATACTAGGTAGTAATATGTATAAACATACGGAATAATAATCTTTATTGAGTTAATATGAGATTACAAATAGCTTATGAAGCCTCTGAATTCTGAACTAGATAAGAACCTGTATATCAGGATTAAGCACCTTCTCCCATGTTTCTTAGATTAATTCAATTCAAGACAATTTTCCAGAGAGTGTTTCCAGAATTAAGTAATAAACGTGTTAATAATACACATAACATTACGAATATTCAATGACCGTGTTACCAAATCGGACAACAGAAACGTCACAAAACGTACTCGTTAAAAAATATGAACATTGTTGTTATTTTCAGTAATAAAAAAGTAACAAGAATTCATCTATTCAACCGTCTCAGAGATGTCTGCTGTTGCTTAACGATACTATACATAAACATAAAAAAAATTAAATAATGTCCTTTAACAAGGTTAAATAAAGCTGGAAGCTAAACAAAGACTTATCGAATTGAATAATACGATAGTAAATAAGTTTAACATAAATAGAACCTCGAGCGTTAAAGCGATCTCTAAAGGTTGTCCATGAATTTTCGGTCTAACGTTAACATAAGACCACAGGCACGTACTAACTAAATAACCGAGTAGCGAAAGCAAAAACAACCGGTGAAGTGCGAGTCGGACTTGCGCGTGAAGTTTTCCGTACCATCGTAAAACACAATTCTAGTAGGGTAGCCCCATTTAATTTTTAATTTATTTAATTGTTATTGTATTTGTTGTTATAGCGGCAACAGAAATACACATTCTGTGAAAATTTCAACTGTCCACCTATTACGGATCACGAGATACAGCCTGCTGATAGATAGACGGACGGACAGTGGAGGC